ACTCTTTCATTGCATAAGCATTCCTATTTTTCTTAGCTATTTGAGAGCCAATTCTTGAAGAAATTGTCGTGTTCTTGAGCGTTTACTAGTTCACTCATATCTACTCTTTGTGAGAGTTTTATTCCTGAGTGTTTAAGTGTTTTCATACACTTTAAGGGAGTTTGTTCCCTTGTTGTAAACTCGAAGGAAGTTCCTTGTTCCTTCGTGAGAAGTCTTGGAGTGCGGTATCTCCGAGCAAAGGTGTTGAGGCTCGTGTGACTCGGGTTCTCAATTTGTATCGGTTTGTTAAGCACCCTTAAGCTTAACGGAGTTAGTGTAGCTCGAGAGAGTCTCTCGGGGGGCTGGATTAGCCACACGTTGTGGTGAACCAGGATAAAATCCGGTGTGCTCCTTCTTTACGCTCTTTACTTTAACGCTCTCGTTTTAATTTCCTGCGATTTTGTTTTAAACGCTATTCACCCCCCCTCTAGCGTTGGGCCTTTATCCTAACAAATACAATGCTAAAAAACACTATGAAATGCCAACACATAACATCAAATTGTGGCATTTCAGAGTGTCAACACTTTCATAAGAGAATAAAAACATAAGAAGTATTATTTTGATAAAGTGTCATATTTTAGTACAAAGTATTATTTATGTAGATTTTCTAAATTTTCAATCTCAATATCTCCAAGAACGTTTATCAAGTTTTCTTTTCAATGACGTTTTTCATATCCATATGTGTATTTTCTTGATAACATAATTTTAATTACTCAATCATCAACATTCAACAGTCAATAAAAATTCATACCTTTTCTTAAAACCAATCTTCTTTCAAATTATGATTTAAACATAAAATTGAACTTGGGATGATATGTCTAAAGTCTTAAATTAAGCATTATGTGTAAATGGAAAATCGAAATTAATTTCTATCTTTAACTTATACTCCGAAACATTCCCTCAAAAAAATACCTCTAACTTTTAATTTTTAAATTTCATCATTTAGACATTCCGACAGAGCAATAACCCTAATTTTCAAAACTCAAATTTCTAAATTAGAAAATTAGCATTTAGAACATTGATATATAAACAAGATTGGAACTCACGAATCTCTATAAAATAAAAATAAAAAAGTAGAAAACAAAAGTTTGAGAATCAAGACTCAAAAGAAGTACCTTAAAAATCGATGCTTCAATCGCTACCTCTCGACTCTGTATGCCATGCGGCGGTTCTCTTTTGATCTTTTTCTTTGGTTTGGTTGAAGGGAAAGGAGAAAGAATGAAGCAAAATAGGGAGGAGTTTGGGTCATTAGTGTTTTGGGGACAATTAGTTCGAGTGCTTTTTGTTGTTTGAAAAATTGACATCAATACTTCCTTATTTTTTTGAAACTTACCTACAAAGTCTTCATGTTTTTAAAGTATTGCATTCACACTCTTTCCGATCATTTTCCAGCGAAGAGAGGGCATTAATGTCTATTTTCTAAATTATTTGTAGCATACGTGTTCATTTCTTATTTTATTTTTTTCTTCTCTTAAAACTTTTTTTATCTCCCTCTTTCCCTTTCTTAGAAAAGTTTATAAATTTCTTTTAAATTTTGTATAACAGTTTTAAAAATTCAAAACTCTTTGTGTTTATTGAGATAAAAAATATATACTCCATTTGTCTTAAATTAAATAGTTTTAACTTCTTTTCTAGAATAATATTTTTAGTAAGTTCAAAAAGAAAATAAAAATATGGAAAAACGAAATGAAAAAAAGTGAAAAATTTTAAAAAAATTAACGCCTAAAAAAGTCCTTAAAATTGTGATTTCAACAAGGACATTAATTTTTTTGTTTGTTTTATTTCTTATTTTATTCCTCATTTTTAAGTTTTCGAAATAAGTTTTTTATTTTCTATTTTAGAAAACAAAAAATAAAAACTTTTAGTTTAAGACGTACAAATGTAGTATACGTTAATTTTATTTAAATAAAAACAGTTTTAAATTTTAAGAACGTTCTAGAAATAATTTTTAAAAGAAGTTTAAAAATAATTGATTAATAAAAAAGGGAAAAAACAAAAAATACACGAAAAACAAGAACTGTGCCCCATATGGTTTGGAAAATAGACACTAATGCCACCTTTTTTTCCAGAAAAATAACCGAAAAATGATCAGGAGATATGTGTGCAACGTTTTGAAACCACAAAAACTTTAGAATTAAGTTTTGAAAACAGGAAATATCGTGTATGACCTTGACTTGGACAACGGATCTAAATTTAATTAAAAGAGTAACCACAGATCATCATAAAAAATGAATGCATGTAATTAAGTTTACACGCTCGTCAATATACCAGTGGGAGACTTTGATGAAGATCTCATAGATTGATGATGAAGAGTTTGATTAACTTATGTTTGAGCTTCAAATTTGGTTACCGACAAATAAAGCGAGAATAATTATCTGGGTTCTTAAGAGATTTAAAATATAGAAAATATCGTTTGGGAAACATAATGCAAAACTCGCGTGTGATATATGAGTGCAGATTAACTCACACTTGAACTAGACCAGCATGTGATTGATGCACTTCGAAATCATTGTTTTTAAAAGTTGAAGGACTTAAGTTGCAAAATTTAAAATTTAGGGAAAATTTGTACAATTTTTTAAAAGTTCAGGGAGAAATAGCGCAAAAAAACTTCTTTGACACGGATGAAATAATTTCATAAAAAATAATTAATTAGACTTATTTTATAAAAAGAAGTTTTTTAATAAAATAATTTTATTATTTTATTAATGAAGTGCTCCGGGGTATTATTTAATTAATTAAAATAAATTGATTTAGTTTGACAATAGAAAAATGGGAGAAAGACCAAAGTATGACTAAAACATTGAAAATATACCAAAATAGGACTTCCATGTTTTTATTCCTGAAATAGGAAAAATATGCATTTACATTACCAAACACGATCATGTACATTACCAAAAAGTATAATAATGTGAGCATACATGTACAGTGTCACATTACCACAATGCAAAGTCATATTTCGAGAAAAAAACATGAAAGTCTTATTTTGATACTTTTCTCTATGTTTTAGTCCTATTTAGAGCAACGGAAATGGGTGCAACGCCCACCCGGGTTAAGCTCATTTTAACACCCGGAGGCGTTAAAAAACGCCCCTAGAGCTTCTTCCCGGCATTACTCTTGGTGCGTCAGACGTTTGACGCACTCCCCCTCCACCCTAACGGCTAAATTAGCCTTTGCAGTTTAAAAAAAATAATTATTTTTTTATAAATTTCAAACTCAATCTTTCAATCTTCTTCACATCTTTCAATCTCCAATTCTCATCAATCTTCTTCACATCTTCAATTCTCCAATTCTCCAATTCTCTTTTTAACATGAATCCCTCCTGCTCCGGCTTTTCCCTTGACGCTCTCAAGCCTAACGAGCATGCCATGTGGATCTTCCAACAATACGTGAGTAATCCAACGTTGTTCGAGACGCAACTATCGGGGTACGTTTATGAGCGGGAGTCGGTTCTAGAGACTCAACCGGAACCATCCGACCCCAAAAAAAGTTCACGCCGGAAAAGCCACAAAGCGAAAGGCACTCAAGCGATGACCAAGGCGGCACGGTCAATCCAAAAGTGGACGCCGGAGGAAGAGTGCTTGTTGGCGTTGGCTTGGGTTAACGTCTCCGAGCATCGTATTGTTGGTAAAAATTATATGTTTTCTAATATATTTGTCTTAAAAAAATTTTCGTGTTATACTTTTTAAAGGTTCGGAGCAAACGAAGGATGCGATGTGGGATCGTATCGAGGAGAAGTTCTTTACGGCGATGAACAAGGACGCCTCATACTGTACCCGGGACAGACTCACTTCCAAATGGGGCCACATCAACCGTAAAGTCCGAAAGTTTATTGGAGTTTACGAGGAATGCACTCGGTCCCGAAGGAGCGGAATGAACGATGTTGATGTTCTCCGGCTTGCCACAGTCTGGTATCAAGGCGACGGGCACCAAGGCAAGGTGCCCATCGATCTTTGGAGAATTTTAAGCCATTCCCTGAAATGGAAAGAACTCAAAAATTCTGATAGAATTTGGGATGGGTAGGGACAACTGGATTGGGCAATAAGACACTTGGGCTGAACCACATTAAAAGATTGAATCCAATCGATTACTTAGTTCAACTCAAGACCTTATATACCGATAACTTTTCTATTCAACTTCCGATGTGGGATAAACTCTAACACTCCTCCTCAAGTGGACAACCGGGCCATTTTGAATCTAACCGGTTGACCACTTGCAAATGAACTCCCAATCCCTTGACTTTTTTTTGAGCGCCAACACCTAAAGACCACAAGCCGCTGGGTATGGACTTGCAGACGAGCAATCGTGTTAAACAGGCCACAGGCCGTTGGGTACACACTACATACGGACAACTGGGCTAAAGACAAACGGGCCGTTAGGAATGAACGTCTAGACATACACCTTAACAAACGAGGTGGGCCAAAACCTGCTCCGATACCATGATAGAATTTGGGATGGGTAAGGACAACTGGATTAGGCAATAAGACACTTGGGCTGAACCACATTAAAAGATTGAATCCAATCGATTACTTAGTTCAACTCAAGACCTTATATACCGATAACTTTTCTATTCAACTTTCGATGTGGGATAAACTCTAACAAATTCTGATGCCAGATCCTCAAAGAAAAGATCCTCTGTCGACATCAAGGTTGAGGTCGATGACACTATCGGTTCGTCTGAACAAAGGCTTCCCTTCAACGTTGATGATTCCGATGTCAAGGAACCCATTCAAGGGCCGATCGGAAGAAAGAAGGAAAAATCCATTGCCTCGGGTTCTGGAGGGTCCGGCTCTGTTTTCGTTTCTTCTCACGACGATATGGGTCGGGCAATGGTTGAACAACTTCGGATGTTCAATATTCGAGAAGAAGAGAGGGCAAGCAGAAAGCAAGAAAAGGAAGAGATCAAAATAATGGAAACCGACCTTGATACGTTATCGGGCTTCAAACGTATGATCTTTGAGAGAAGACAAAAAGAGATCAAGGCTAAATATAATTTACCTTAGTTTTTTTATTAATGTATTTTTTAATTATTGTCGCTTTATTTTTTTTAAATTTAATGAATGAAATTTTTTTAAATTATTGTTGCTTTAATTTCTTTTAATTTAATGAATGTAATTTTTGTAATTATTCTCGTTTCAATATAATTAAATAATGAAATAATTAAATTTTATTAATTTTGTTTTAGAAGATGTTTATTTAAAAATGTAAAAAATGAAGTTTTAAAGCTCTGGGGCTTCAAGCCCATTTCCAATGAATTTGTGAGGTGAGTTAAAGCAGACGTGACAGAGAAAGAAAGTTTGAAGCGCAGTTTAAAGTCCCGGGGCTTCATACGTATTTCCAGTGCCCTTAGAGCACTGGAAATACTCGTGAAGCCCCGGGGCTTCAAAATTTCTCTCTCTGCCACGTCAGCTTTAACTTACCTCACAGATTCAGTGGAAATGGGTTTGAAGCCCTAGGGCTTCAAAAAGGGGCTTCAAACCTTCATTTTTACATTTTTAGGTATTAAATTAATAAATTTTAATTAATTTATTATTTAAATTAATCGAAAAGAGACTAGTGTATTAAAAAATTACATTCATTAAAAAAATATTACATTCATAAAAAAATACATTCATATAAAAAAGTTATATTCATTAAAAAAATATTACATCCATAAAAAAACAACACTACAAAGCGCGGCAGTGCCGTCCCGTACGCCATCTGACGAAGCGCGGCAGTGCACTTCTAGACACTACTAAACCCGCGTCGGCCTCTCGCATCAAAGCGTTGGGGAACCAAGGCCCCTCGCGTTCAACATCGCCGAGTATACGTAAAAAGAGAGGACGACTCATCCGAAAACGATTACTAAAATCCTCCGGTGTATAAACACACAGAGTATTAAAGTAGTCGTTGAGAAGTGAAGCGGGGGTGGCTGCTCGATCTCGGTTTAAACGTTGTCGTCGGGTCCGGGTCCGGGTCTGGCGTCGGGAGGATTCGGCTTCTTTTTCTTCGCCTTGTTCATGATACAATTTGATAATAACTTGTCTTATTGAATATTGAGAGATATGGCCCTATATATAGGAAATACAAGAGTAATCAAAGTACAAGTAGGAAAGGAAAGAATAATCTTAGTAGGAAAGGAAAGAAGTATCCTAATTTAATTATACTTCCTAATATCCCCCCGCAAGCTGATCAACGGAGACGAGGGGCAGCTTGGAACATAAGTACTCAAAAGGAACTGGCGGAAGCGGTTTGGTAAGAATGTCTGCTAGCTGCTCTGAGGAGGAAACATGATGTGGAGTCATAGTGCCTGCCATAACCTCATCTCGTACAAAGTGACAGTCTATGCCCACATGCTTCATGCGATCATGAAGAACCGGATTTTTGGTGACACAGATAGTCGACTCATTGTCACAGTATAACTTCGGTTTGGACGGAGGAATACCCAGTGCATCAGTGATATATCGAAGCCACATAGCTTCTGCAACCCCTGCAGCCATAGCTCGATATTCAGCTTCAGTGGATGATCTAGAAACACGAGTCTGCTTTTTCGTGCACCAAGAGATGATATTAGGACCGAGTAGGAGTATGTAGCCCGTGGTAGACTTGCGATCATCTTTATCATTGGCCCAGTCAGAGTCAGAGTAGACAGATAGGTCGAATCCCCCCTTGCGAAAAAGAAGACCATGATTCAAAGTGCCTTTGAGATAGCGCAGAACGCGTTGCAAGGCATGATAGTCCTGCTCAGTGGGGTTGTGCATAGTCTGAGACACTCGATTAACAGCATACTGAATGTCTGGACGAGTGACAGCCAAGTAATGTAAACCGCCAACAATGCTCCGAAAATGAGAAATATCCTTGAAAGGCAACGAAGGCTTAGTGATAGGTCTCGTAGCCATAGGAGTAATAGCCGGATGACAGTCGGACATCCCAGCTCGGCGTAGAAGATCACGGGCATATTTGGATTGATGGAGAAGTATAGAATCTTGCGTGCGCTGAACCTCAATGCCAAGGAAGTAATGAAGAGGTCCAAGTTCTTTGAGCTTGAAGTCACGGTGCATGGCCTGAGTAACTTCTGAGATGAGAGTAGAAGAGCTGCCAGTGAGAACAATATCATCAACATAGACAAGGACAACAATAGTCCCACGAGAGCAGTGTCTGGTGAACAAGCTGGTATCATGAATGCAGCACTTGAATCCAAGGCCCTGCAAAAAAGAGGAGAGGCGTGTGTACCATGCACGGGGTGCCTGTTTGAGACCATATAGTGATTTGCGGAGCTTGCAAACATAGTGAGGATGAATGGGATTTATGTACCCCGGGGGCTGCTCCATATAAATTTCCTTGTCCACTGTACCGTGAAGAAAGGCATTGCTAACATCTAGTTGATGAAAAGGCCAATCACGGTTGAGTGCTAAAGAGAGGACCAGGCGCACTGTTTGTTGCTTGACCACAGGACTGAATGTCTCCTTGTAATCAATGTCCTACTCCTGATGATAACCTTTTGCGACAAGACGAGCCTTGTACCTTGAAACAGATCCATCAGCATTCCGTTTAATGCGATACACCCATTTGCAACCAATCGGAGTGCGGTTCTTGGGTGGTGGAACCAAGTCCCATGTACGTTGCTCATTCAAAGCAATAAACTCCTCATCTATAGCCTGACACCAAAAACTATTACCAGAGGCTTGGCGGTAAGTGCTAGGCTCAGTGGTAGGTGGGGTAGTATCAAGGGTGGTAATGGTATAGGCTTTAGGTTTGAAAATTCCAGATTTGGCTCGGGTTTGCATGGTGTGTGTGTTTTAGGGCGGGGGTCGGTTAACCGATTGTGTGTTTTGGAGAGGAGTAGGTGACGGTCGAGGGTGGGTTGGGGTACGGTTCTGGGGTTGGACCGTCTGTGGCGTGTCTATAGGGAGGGTGTCGGGCTGTCGTCCGTGACTGGTGGGACGGGTCTGGGGTTGGACCGTCAGTGGGACAAGAGCATGTGAGCCTGGGCTTGGAGGAAAAATAGGGGTTATAGGAGAGGGTGACGGGAGGGATGACAATTTGGGATATGGAAACTGATCCTCGACGAACCGAACATGACGAGAGACATAAACTTTTTGAGACACGGGTTCATAGCATTTATACCCTTTAGTGGTGGGGTGATATCCTAAGAAGACACAAGGAGTGGAGCGTGGTTGAAGTTTGTGGTGAGTGTAAGGGCGGAGCCATGGATAGACCAAGCAACCAAAGGCACGAAGGTGGGTATATGTAGGAGGACGGTTATAAAGAGTTTCAAA